AAAGATGGATCCCATCTGGGAAGGTCCGTACAAGATCAGCAGAGTAGGGGGCAAAGAGTAATTACACCCTCACCACCATGAAGCGGCAAAAAGATTGAAAAAAAAATGGATGGCCTACAATCTGAAGAAGTACCATGTGTGACCTCCCGCTACATCAAAACCCGAAGACTCAATAAGCTCGACGGGCACCACCTCACAAGCTAAGGACTATCCAGTTGTTATGCAGTTCCTACCTTACAGCTAAAGTTCTCGTTCGTTTCACTCGTTTTTCAATGAGGAATTTAGAAGTAATCACAACTTGGCTTGGCTGCATGCTTACAACAACTAATCACTCTTGCACTTCAAAAGAAGACTGCACCCTTCTTAGGGACTTATCGCAGGAATTGCGCCCCCCGAGGGACCAACCATGCTCTCCAGTGCGAGAGGGTAAACCAATTCTCCGACACCCATATGGGTCAGCTCTCCAAGACGGGAGGATAAACTTTACACTCCGAATATCCAGACGTGGATGAGCCTGGCTGCCCTAGTATAACTAGATGCACGATGGCTTGCGCCGGGATTCCTAGAAGTAGCCGCAATGGTCTTTTTCAAGGTTTAGCTAATTGAAGGATTTTGGGTATCTTGGCCTAATCCGTGGGGAACCGGGCCCTAGAGACGGAGAGGGCACATTACGCAGTACATCCGATGGACGGCTGCCCTGGAATCCTAAAGCTGCTACCGAGTGCACTAAGGTAGCCTACGGATTCCGGAAGACTGCCTACGACTTGCCCTTCGAGCAGTGAAGCCACACTAGACTTATACAACCGCACATTCTTTTGAAAGGTTAGACAAGCTAGCGCGCATATACGAAGTTTTATCCACTGCCGACATGCTACGTAGTCGATAAGCTTCACCTCTGCCAAGCGCGGAACAACCTACACCAAGTCCTAAAGTGTTGTGATACTTGCTACGCAACCTACAGAATTGAAGAAAGTCAAAGTTAACAGCCTAGTGGTTACGCGAACTTGTCTGCTTCTGTAAGTAAGGCATCCGGCTGCCAACCCTATGGCTAACAACTTTGCAAAGTTCTACACCAACACATACGGCTGCATAGGCTACGCGAGTTTGTTTGCTTATAAAAAAGTAGCATGCCTGCCACTGGTCTATCAAGTCTAAAGGTTAGGGCATGAACAAAAGAAGTGAAGATGAAGAAAAACGAAGGAAAACATGTTTATAAACAACTAGCAAAGGTTGAAGGAGTTCAAGCAAAACAAAAGCTACAAGGAAAAACAAAAAAAATCCTAAAGGCTACCTAAAATACTACACTACAGCAGCTTGGACATTCCACGACTACTCGGTCGCCACACCTTCAACAGCCGTAACGTTCTTAGCAGCGGCATCATCCGGCGCTTCACCCCCGGCTGCCCCAGTCTGGGCACTAACTTCTCCAACTACTTCACCAATGGAAGCCTTAAAAGTAAAAGCAAGCAAGTCTTCCGGAGAAATAGAGAAGCTCATCCACTCTCTTCTTAGCATAAGTAGCGAAACGAAGCTCAGAAATTGCAAGCTTAAGATCTTGAATCTGAGGCGAATCAATCTCAGCAGCAAAGGGAGCAGGCTTTGGCGCCACTTTAGCAGCAGAGTCCACCTTACCACTCTTCATAATAGCAAGTCTCTACAAAGGTGAACCGGACTTGGCTCCCAAAGAACGTCCTGGTACAGACTTCGGCACTGGGGGCATGATAAAACCTTTACGCTGAGTAATCTTATCCACAATTGTACTAGCCATTCTCAACATGGAAGACGCCACATGCTCAGATCTAGCAGCCTTACATTTCTTCCCATTGGAAAATCATGTCAATCACATACCTCTCGGTAGCAAGCGGACCCTCATGAGCAGCAGAAGAAGTCTTCAGTTTTTTCTTAACTGGCATCTCATGAGCAGGCGGGGAAGATCTCTTCTTTCCATCTTCATTCATAGTAAGCTCCACGACAGCGATCAGACGAGCCAATGCATCCGCCTTGATCCTCTTTACCTCCTATTTCTGGAGCAGCCCACATTTCTTTCGGCAAAGAGGACTAAGCAGCCAACGACATTCATGGTACTCAGCAGGGGAGCTCAACCCAGCATTCCAACAGGCAGGAGGCATGCATGCCCAACATTCCAGCAGCCCATGAGACCCGCAATCTCCTTATTTCTCTCAATCACCAGCCTGGCCCGAGTCAGGTCCAAGAGCCCAAAGGACATGAGCCATGCGGCTCGCCTAGCACTGCGCCCCAGCGCCACAATCCGCGACCCTAGTTGCACAAGCTGCCTTTTGGCTCAAGCCAAGCCAAGCTGCCCAAGCAGTGGTCCCTGCCACAACATCTCCTCGGCCCATGCCGAGCCAACTCCTGGCCCCTGCCAGCCGATGTGCCGCACCACCCCGACGGCTGCCCCGCAATAGCACTATCCAAGAATAAGGCAAGAAAAATTAAATTTTTCTTACATCGGTGCGGCACGAAGAAGATGAAGAAAGCAACGAAAGACGGTCCTTTGCACGGGCAAGATGTAGAAAATTGCTAGAGGAGGGGGAACAAATATCCTCTAAGCTATCTCTCTCTTGTAGGGTAGAATAAATCGCTCTCCAAAGTTGATTTAATAACCCACTTAAGGTGGACTTAAATAGGCTTTGAGAGAAATTTATTTCCCTTTCCTAGAAGGATCTAATTTCCTATTAAAGAGAGAATCAACATCAAAATAGGAAGCAGTCTTAAGTTTCCTAAAGCAAGAAGATCTCTACACCTGCTGCCCTTTTTTTGCGAGCAGCCCAACAGGTGTGGGGGCATTTGTGGAGCCAAAAATATTCACTAGGCGACACGTGGACTTTTGGACAAAAGAGGACAAAAATACCCTCAAGGCATACCGGGTTTCCTACACGCGAGCAGTAGAGAATCATTTTTTCAACCAAGTCAAAAGTGCCCAAAATAGGTATCAACTTAAAACCTAATTTATTCATATATTTCTCATTTCATTATTTAGCTAATCAATTAGCTAAATAATATACTTATTCCTTTCATATTTCATAAAATCATAATAATTGACTAATTAAGGGATTAATTACCTAATCAATCCCTTAATTGTCAATTTGAAACATCCACTCAAACCTAAAAACACAAGAGGGCCGGCTATCCTATTGAAAAACCTAATCCATTACCTTTTTTCTACCTTTTCCCACCATTTCTTCCTTTTTATTAGCCAATTATACAAAAAACCACCAAAACATTCATTTTATGTTTAATAGCCAAATAAATTGGCTAATTAAACCTAAAAACCCTAGCCACCTCCTATCCCTATAAATATACTCCCATTCTCACCAAAAAGCTAATTCCAACACTTTGGCAAAAATCCCAAAATTCTCTAAACACTCTTTCTCTCTAAATTCTAACTTTGGCATCGGAGGTTCTTCGGCCAAAGCCCCCCCATTCATCGTGGGCGCGTGAGGCTCTTGGCCTTAACCTAAGGTGTTAATTGTTTTGTAGGTGCAAAATCGTCCAAGATCGAGGAGGAAGAAATTTGCATCCACATACACATTTTTACTTTTCACACATCCCTCTCAATTTTTGGTCGTTTGATCGAATGAATTAAAGAAGATCAATGACTAAAAATTAACAAGGATGTGTCGGAGGTAAAAATGGGTGTGTGAATAGCCTATCCAAAAAAAAAAGGGATGAATATAAAGAACAGGAAGTGGTTAGATTCTCTCCCGTCCAAATTTTTTCCCCTCCCATCTCATCCCATCCTCTCCTCTCACACTTTTCTCTTTGTCTCTCTGTAAAGATATCAACACAATATGTTGATGTGACTTTATAAGAACTGGATTCAAGCTTTCATCAAACCCTTCTCATCAAGAGACTCTTAAATCGTAAACATTCAAATCAGAAGAGATTAGAGGAGAGAGAAAATGAGAGATGAGAGAATCCGTGGCTAGGAGCATCACAGTTGGAAAATGTGTACAATAGAGTTTATTTTTATGAAGTCTTGACTGTCTTGGCATGAAAGCAAAGTTTTGACCTTTTTTGTTCGTTTGTTTTCTTTTATATACAAATATTTCCCCCTTTTGGTGGAATTTTAATATACATAGTGGAGAAAAGATCATCAACTTTTCTATATTTAAATAGCTTCCAAAAGAAGGGTATAATATTTTTTTGTTTGTTTAAAAAATGGAAATATTATTGAGTTCCTTCTTTTAAGGGCATGTAGTAAGTGCCGGTTGACTTGAACTTGTAGAGAAGCTTAGCTTAATTTGGACTTGCTTCGATTTGTCTACTGAGAAATGTCAAGGCGATTCTCTCAAAAATCAGATTTTTCATAAATTCCTTACCACCTCATGTTTTTGGCACAACATTTGATAATGTTGTCACGAGAATTAACGTTAAGCTGTGAAGCAACATAATTCACAATTCCCACTTTAAGAGTCTTCTTATCATATTTCTTGTCTACCATATATAACATGATCCTCAATTTAGGGGTGCTATGAAGCAGCTTAGCTTTGAGAGGAGTTGCTTATGTTGTTTTGCGTTTGGCGATTGACTTTTCCCCTTCTTTTTAGGAAGCTTCTGTTATCTATTGAGAGGAGTTTAGTGTTTCCGACCACTCAGTGCTTAACACAAATTTAACATCGTTCAACTTACCGATGGACCAGTAACTTACCGACCCAAACACAACACCAGTAGGGGTCACAATGTAAGTGTGCAATTTCTTTTGACGTTTTGTCGAGCACTTGGTGGGCTATCATTGTCTACAAGCCATAATGCGCACATGTCAACTATTGACTCTTGTTGAGTGCCCCTGGCAAGTGCTGCCGAGTAAGCATTTCATCCAACAATTGGTGTACACAAAAGGAACTCGTACTAAACATTTGAAGAGGTCCTCGAAGGACCTTGACAGGCATGTTTCATTGGCCGAAACAATTGCAAATCTCATTCCGTATAGAGATGAGAGGAGAAATGACTCGCTACTGATTCGCAAACCCTCGCAATGGGAAAAAAAATGTGAACTTGATTACATAAAAAAATTGAGTGATATATGTACTACAATCCCAACTCAGTTTAATTATAGAGGGAACTCCAGTGAGAGAGAGAGAGAGAGAGAGGGAGAGATGCTAGCAGTTTGGACTAACACTTCATGTGAAAAATAGTATAAAAAGAAAAAAGAAACGATATAAGAAACCATCTGAAGGCAGCATCTATCACGAAGAGGTGTCAAAATCTGCTGCAGCAGATTTGTAAGCCGAGACGGGCTGATCGATTTCCTTACGAGATGCTTCCCAAAGTTGCTGTTCTATCCCCAGCTTCCGCAGCTCATAAACACCCCGCTCCGCTGCCACAAGCACTTACACGTTCATTTACAGCAACAACATTCGATAGAAATTATAAATTCCAAACGAAAACAAGACTGCCAATCTATTTCTATTTCTCCGTTTAGTAGGCATCAATTTACCGAATCACCGATTAATAAGAATGTGCCTAGGCTTGATGAGTGACACTGTTGATGTTTGATAATTATGAAGCTTACCATCCACAGCATCGTGGCAAGTTGGAGTCTGCACACTACGGCTTATCCATAACTGAAGCCTATCGTCTGCAATATCATCTTCCACGCCGTGTTCTTTAGCTCTTCTCCAAAAGTAAGTCAGCCAAGCCTGTGATGTCGATAGAGTATTCAATGCAAACAAATGTCGACTGACATAATTTAGTATCTTGTTTCTGGTTTTAATACAAATAGTAGACACCATAGCAGAAGGGAAGAATATATGGGCATTTCGTATATTCAAGTGGGCAAACCAACTAACCACTTTGAAAGAAATGTCTTCAATCTCCTCGTCACTAAGATCTGCAAGGAAAAAAACACAGAATAGTGATAAGATTACCACTTTTCATCAGTTTAAATCTACCCATAAACTTGACGTGTAAATACTATATAACTGTGATTCTATCACATAACTCGAAGCAGGTAGTTTTGAACTACTTGCTTGGTTTTGAATATCCACCGAAACGGAACGTGTTATCACTTTTCTTTACATTTTATTTTGGGAAGTATTATTAGCACTCCAAAAATCTCATTCTACACTCCTCACAAGTGTATTTTTCTTTCCCAATATAGAAAGTTTGGAGTGTAGAATGAGATTTTTGGAGTGCTAATAACAATTCCCTTTATTTTTAGTAAAAAGTGTGCGATTAATTTTGGGTAGGGGTTGGGGGAAAAACATAAAAGGTCTCACGATATGATAAACCATTCTCACAAAATGGCCAAAATTATACTAATCATAAGTTACAAGAAAAGTCGTCCCGAAAGATGGGAGGCTTTGGGAAATAGTAATAAAATTATTTTCCGGTATGATTAAGATATGTGTGCTTTGAGATTCCTTAATTTCAGCATATATATGAGATACGAAGATACATTGTGCAATAGATTAAAATATCTCTCTTACCAAATGCTTCCATGAACTTAGGGTTGCCAGTTGATTTCGAATCTGAAATTCAAAAGAAAAGTAAGGTAAGCATTGTTTTGAGAATCTTTCTGCTCCGATCCTTAACCTTGGACAACTCTAGGATAGCCAGCATGAATTTGATAGCAAGAATAAAATGTTGCGCCGCACAGCATTTGAACCATCAAGCATATGGATGCAACTATCAAAATAGTTTACCAAAACACCATAACCAGGCAAATTCTAGAATAACACGAGACAATAAAGAAAAATACCTAAAATGGACTGCCGAACAGAATTAGGACGTCTATGTTGGGCCAATGCAATTACAACAGCATCCTCAACCTAAAAGAAATGCAGTGCAGCAATTAGAAGTTGAAAACTGGATAATAATAAAAATATAAAGTATATATTGTTTTAAAGAAGAATAAAAAGATTCATAAGTCAAAGATTAGGTATCGACCTTTAGAGAAGATAATTCCCTCATACCCATTTCCACTGAAAGCATACTCTCAATATTTCCTTCGCCTGTGAGGTCGGTTAAATCCCGAGCCAGCTTACTTCTATCTGGATCATCACCACATGGTAGACATCATAAGTTTAATTGAGTGCATCAAATGAAAAACCAAATTAGATAAAGAGATAACATAATCGTTTTCTTTGATATAAGGAACAACTAAACTAACTTTTACCCCACGGTTCCTCCTTTGCCTTTTGTCCAGCAGAAATGACAACTTCAAATGGAAGAGGAGCTAACGACGACCAATGCTCATGCTTTGACACTGCTATATCTGCACATATGCCTAAGCACAAAAGAAAAAAAATAAAGCAAAATCTAACTAATAATAAATCTACAAATTGATTCATTCAAATCCATATTCACATATACACATATATAAACACACTCCACCAGACACCTTGAAGTTATGACTAAAATGGAATACACAATGTTGAAATTGACCAAAATCTCCAAATCAAGTGAAACATTCCTCAGCAAGCTGAGATATCAGATTTAGGCATGCAATTTATATCCTCATTCAAGGAGAAGATGGAGAAAATAGAATACCATGTTGCACCGCTAAACCCCAGTAACGAGCAAGCCAACATCTCTTCAAAACAACTTCCTCCTAAAAGATACATACAAAAATAAACTTAAAAGAGTATGAACAGCTAAAAATAAATCTCACACGAGTATCAGTAGACAAACCATCTCTTCTTGTGTTAAAATCATTCTTTGCGTCTTTGTACGAAGACTCTTTGCCTCAGATTCTGCTTCTCGGAGCTGTTCGGCTGCTGCTGCTGCCCCGTCTTTAAAATTCTGATTATAACAACATAAAAAACTCAAGAAGCTATCACATAAATCAGAAACACTTGATTAAGATCTAAAGAATATACCTCAATTTCTGATCGAAGAGTTGCAATTTCCTCCTCTTTCCCATCCTTGTTTTGCTTGGCAGCAAGAAGAGCAGCCTGCACAATCAATAATTTTTAGTTTAAAGACAGCCACTGACTATGTCATTTTAACAGAACAAGTTTCAACCTATACTACTAGTATCCTTATTAAATGCTAATCTATGCCACATCTAATTTACCCTCCCAACTTACCTCTCTTGAACGCAAAGCTGCTTCCTTCCTGCAGATGAATCATTTAAATAATCACAACCAGGATATCAAATAAAGGCAGAACAGATCCAAAACAGCTCAACGTTACCTGCTCAACAATTTGGCTTCCATGCTTACACCTTCCCCCAGATTAGCAACCTGTGAATGAATTGACCATAAAAATAGCTGAATCAGCACCGCTACCTTCTTTGTAGTAAGCTTATGCTAATAGTGTCAAAACTATAAAGGAAAATATAACATGATAAAAAGAAACATAATGGCAAAGTCTCCTGATTTACAAGCCATACAGTTAAATCAATATGAATAAAAGGTTTGACCTGTTTCTCAAGCTCCTTAGCTCTGGCCTCTGCTTGCGCATGTTTTTCTTCAGCAAGGCGAAGCTGTAATGCATGTTTAGGCATAAATTTCACAAATCGAATATAACCGAGACATGCTCCGTGCATGCGTGGTTATGAATGTATGTCTGTATTAGTTAGAATGTAAAGTATTTGCATATGCTTGTGTGTACTAAAATGTAGAAGAGCACACCTTCTGAAGTATAATCTCATTATCTTCTTGTAGCATATCAAGCTGCAATTACAGCACATGTTAGTTTCAAGACTATTGCTGAAAAAATGACAGTTACAGCTCCACAAATAACAATCTTAAAAGTGGAGCAATAATGCATATCCTTAAATACAGGTAAAGGTTATCTGCGCCCGTTATGAAGACTGAATTTGAGGGATGAAAATGACATACTTCATCACGAAGCGCAGAAGCTTCACGCTCATCTCCTGGGGCCTTTGCTTTGAACTGTCCAATATCTGGTGTAAACCTGTCCCTGTAACAAATTAAATATATCAGCTACACATACTTCCTAAATTTCGATAACATCAACTAGCTACTATAATGCAAGTGAGAAATAGATATCTTACGAACTTGCCTTTTATCTCTATTCCTATTAGAAGGAGGATCAATTGGAGGTATGGTTACTGGAGTTCTAAGCGATGGTTTGCTCGGTGGTGGCACTACCGCCGCTGAACGAACTGACATAGAGGGCCTCCCCGTTGATGAGGAGCGAACCGATGTTGTATGCTCTACAAAGTTCCGACCTAACTAATTAAAATACCAGAATCCAATCAGCCATAAGATCACCACATTCAAATCCTCTTACAAGTTTACCAATCGAACGTTAACTAAAAGTCAAATAATTAAATTAACACTAATTAAGAACAAGCCAATGGTAAAAACTCTAGCAGAAAAAATAATTAAAGTTTAATTAGACTCGAATTTAACTAAATCACTATAAAACTAAGCTCCTACTCAATCTAAACACAACGAAGTAAGCAAAATTCAGATCTTAAAACGATATCAACGAAATTAAACAAAAAATTTAATTAAAAAACTACAATTCCACATGATTCAAAGTTTCAAATCACGTAATTATCAGCGCATATTTTGAATTACCGCAGGCGAGGGAGATCTATTAGGCCGAGTCACCGAAATCGCCGGGAGAGGCTTTGCGCCGTTAGTAAAACCATTTCCGGACAAAGAAGACGGTGCATGAGGCGGCTGAGCGAATCGGAAACCGAGATCATCGTCGTCGTCCTCGTCATCGCCGGTGGACTGAGAAGCCATGACCTGAGCTAGCCGTTGAGCGGCGGCTTTAGCGGCGAAGTTTTGATTTCGCTTGATGGTGGAGATTCCGGTGGCCGACGGATTGAGCCGGGACTGAGGGTGCGCTGGCGACATCGCCGGCGAAGAGCCTGTGCTGCTCGAGCCTCCGCTCCACTGCCGCGAGTACACCGGACTCGCTTGTCTCCTCCGATCCATCTATATGTGTGTATGTGTGTGTATAAATATGTATGTATTGCTGTGAAATGAAAGCTGATATTTTCCCCAGAAAATTTTCTCGGGAAAATCGAAGGAAAATCGGGAGGTGGACTGAGAGAGACTAGAGAAATAGGGGAAGGTGTTTTTCCCCTTGAGTTCGGGGGTTAGAGACAAGTCGTGTGGGGTTGAAACTTGCAGTGCGCATGCTGAGCAAACAAACGGTGGCGTTTTGGCGTTGCACGTTTCGCGGGAGAGGATGGGTGGAAAGCGGGCGGTGACGTGTCAAATGAGAAGGCGTGGGCCCGATACATTTGGTGCCAGCCGATGCCAGATGTTTCGGGTATTGATGCATTTCGCCGGCGGTTTCGGACACGTAGATTTTTTGCTGCGGGGAACCACCGAATCCGGATCCTCTCCAGGTCTTCTTTGTGAAGATTTCGAGAATTCGTAAATAGTATTCGTTCATTGTATATCGTGTGGTCAGCTTTCATCAGATACTATTTGTGTTTAATTTTAAATAACAAAATTTAAAAATAGTTTCTGACCGTACAATCTACGATTAATAGACACGATACACAGATTCTCGAATTCTCACAAAGAGAATCCTAAGAGTACCCTTATTCAAACTGACTAACTTTGGGACGAGATGAGGTCCATGAAACGTTGACGTTTTGTGAGGAGAAAGCTTTGGACAATGAGTTGTTAAGACTAATTAATAAAAAATTATTCATCTCTAACTATTCTTAATCATGTCAACTCCCTAATCTGATGTTTAATGATTAAACGTGTTTGTTTGCTCAATGCCAAGCGATTGAGTAAAAGTTACTTAGAGATCAATGGGATAAGATGCCATGTACATAAATAGTAAGATGTCATGGATAACATGTCGTTTGTTTTTTTTGAGTCACAGTACGTTAATGATTTGAAATGTTAAGATAATATACAGGCGCATGTAAATCTCTCTCGTCAAAGTTGCTTGTGTTTCACTATAACATGAAAAAGTGGGAAACAACTGAATTCCACTAGGTGCATGTCTAGGTGTATGAAAACAACTGTAAACCATTAATTGAAAAATATTACAATATTAGTTTTACTTGAATTGTATTTAATACGATACATTACTGCGTGTTAAACTTGACGAATTAAGCTCGATTAGCCACATATCTTAACGTGAAACTGTTGATTGGAAAATCTTTGCAATATAACTTTGCTTTTATCAATGAACCACAAAAATCCAACACAATGATTTTGTTTAGGCACATTATTGTAGCATTTCAAACCAATAACGCAAGAAAATTAAAACACGAGACATCATTGTATTCACGTATAATGTCATGTTGGCGTGCCGAGAAGTGTTAAATCCTTTTTGTAACTTTGACACTGCCGGAATTATGATAAGCTCTATTTGTTCACATACATTAACAAGGAAAAATAGCATGCATTTTTGCAGCAACAAACTTGTAGAGAAAAACTATGCAACTTCACCAAACCAAATCAAAGTCATCCAAATCCGGAACTTGCAAACCAACCTCACCAAATTAAATAAGAAAAAGTCGCGGCTCATAACCAATAAGCTTAACATAATTAAACTCAATTAATTTGAATAAATTAAGCAGCTGATTTCTTTTCAATGAGCTTCTCTATCAGATCAGCTGCTTCTTGGACCGTGCTTATGTTCTGAGAGCTCTCCTCTTCAACGCTAATGTCAAACTCTTCCTCCAAATTCATCACTATCTCCACCTGTATCCAAATTACTTCTTTGTCAACCTAATCGATAGCAAATAATCCGAGATAGTTTTGAAATGGTATAAATAAAGTATCAATATGCTGGCGACATTCTCGAGACTTGACATAGTAATAGCGCTATTTGAGAACATTGCTACATTAATATGCACATAAAACATGAATTTGATAAATTTGGATAAGGAAATTAGACATACGGTGTCGAGAGAGTCGGCGCCAAGTAATGCAAACTTGGAGTCAGAGGAAACCTTTGACTCCGGAGGCAAAGCCAATTGCTTCCTCACAATCTCCACTACCTTTTGCACCGTCTCCGGTTTGGCCTGTCCATTTATGTGGTTTCAATATAACTTGTTAAACTCAAATTTACAAGTCATCTGCCTTATAACTGATTATAAATAGATAGACAAAAGTTGATGTACAACTAATAATAACTATGAATCTTTCGATAGACGCAATTAATTTTCGAGTTCGAAAAACTTACAGCGCAACAAATTTGGAGATGAGAGATTCTCAAAGAAGAGAAGCCACTCTTGGCCCATCCATTAGAAACCAACTTTAAACTTGAACTTGTTCCTGTTACCTACATTATTTTCACCTTCAGCACATTTTATTGGTCTAAAAAATCATCAATTGGGCAAATATTCAAGAAATTCAAAAAATAACGACCCCTTGTGGTTAACCTATAACTAAGGTATGTGAACGCCTCTCACAGATAAGTAGATAGACTTGTGTGAGATGCACATGCAGAGAGTACACCTATCTTGAAAGGTAGTAACACAATTGGACGCAAGATTTTCTCCAAAACAGATCCCGAATTTTCAAGAGATAACCCAATTGAACAACAAGAGAAATGTGACTTGAGCACACAAAATTTGGTATAGTAGTACTAAAAGACCAAATGAGACTACAATTAATGAAGACTTAATGGCACGCGTTCATCGTGGCATCTTGAGCAGTTCTAACATAGAAATGGCATAGAATGCTGCAGTGAACGTGTTCTATGTAGGTCTCTCTCAAAATTAACTGCAATAAAAGTGAATCTAAGCTAAATGTTAGTACCTGGCAGGTCTTGATTGGCTGGTTTTGAAAGGTTTGGAACCTGCAGAGAGAAGTTGCTGAAGCAGAAGCCATTGGAGCTCACAAAAGCGAAGCACGGAAACTTGGTTACTTGAAACAGAGATATGGTGAAAGTGTGCTAAACTATCCTATTGGAACAGAGCCCTATCTACTACTTACGTGGCAGATACTCGGACATCATGGTGGGTCCCCAAAAGCCAGGTACAAGTTGCCACATGGGACAAATTAACAACTAGGCATCCAGCAGTGGATAGCACAAAATAATTAAAGTTTAATTACACTCGAATTTAACTACTTGATCTCTAGCAGAAAAAATAATTAAAGTTTAATTAAGCTCCTACTTGATCTAAACACAACGAAGTAAGCAAAATTCAGATCTTAAAACGATATCAACGAAATTAAACAAAAAATTTAATTAAAAAACTACAATTCCACATGATTCAAAAATTCAAATCACGTAATTATCAGCGTAGATTTTGAATTACCGCAGGCGAGGGAGATCTATTAGGCCGAGTCACCGAAATCGCCGGAAGAGGCTTTGCGCCGTTAGTAAAACCATTTCCGGACAAAGAAGACGGTGCATGAGGCGGCTGAGCGAATCGGAAACCGAGATCATCGTCGTCGTCCTCGTCATCGCCGATGGACTGAGAAGCCATGACTGAGCTATACGTTGAGCGGCGGCTTTAGCGGCGAAGTTTTGATTTCGCTTGATGGTGGAGATTCCGGTGGCTGACGGATTGAGCCGGAACTGAGGGTGCGCTGGCGACATCGCCGGAGAAGAGCCTGTACTGCTCGAGCCTCCGCTCCACTGCTGCGAGTACACCGGACTCGCTTGTCTCCTCCGATCGATCTATATGTGTGTATGTGTGTGTATAAATATGTGTGTATTGCTGTGAAATGAAAGCTGATATTTTCCCCAGAAAAATTTCTCGGGAAAATCGGGAGGTGGACTGAGAGAGACTAGAGAAATAGGGGAAGGTGTCTTTCCTTTGATATTGATTGGTACGCAGACGGGACAGGACATGATGGAACATAGAGGGGTAAAGATGTCTTCAGATGGATACAAGGAGGAAGGAGGAAGGAGGAGATGGAGATGTTATAATTTTGTGTTTCACGGATGTAGAATGAGTCGTTATTGGGTGAGACGGAATAAAAATTCATCTAAAATTTGTCCCATGTAATAGTTATTTCCATCCGTTTTAGGTGCACCATATGTGGGATGGAACGCGACGTCCCACTCCGTTCCGTCCTGTCCCACGTACCAAACGTTACCTTTGAGTTCAGGGGTTAGGGACAAGTTATGGAGAGATTTTTCAGTGTGATCGTTACACGGAATGGTACATCATGTGTCGCTATATAAATGATGAAATATATATGTTAAAAAATTAATAACTTAAAAAATAAAATTTCTCACCACTTACATGAAAACACATGATGTACCACTCGTGTTCCTATCACAATTAAAAATTTCTCCAAGTTGTGTAGGGTTGAAAACTTGCAATGCGCATGCTGAGCAAACAAACGGTGGCGTTTTGGCGTTTGATTGATGTTGATGCACGTTTCGCGGGAGAGGATGTGTGGAAGTGGGCGGTAACGTGTCAAATAAGAAGGCGTGGGCCCGATACATTTGGTGGCCGCCGATGCCAGATGTTTCGGGTATGAAGGCAGAGAATGTGCCCTTTTGTTTGTGTGGTCACGGTTAAACCACGTCAACATTTTATATTACTATTTATTTTTGTCTTATTATCTTTATAAAAAAAATATAAAATGTTAACGTAGTTTAACCGTAACCACACAAAACAGAATGACACGGGAAGTGGGAGGGTAGAGAATCTGCCTCCTTCGGGTATTGATGCATTTCGTCGGCGGTTTCGGACACGTAAACTTTTTGCAGTGGGGAACCACTGAATCTAAATCCTTTCCAGATCTTCCTTGTGAGGATTTTGAGAATTCGTGAATAGTATTCGTTCATCGTGCATCGTGCAGTCAGTTTTCATCAAACACTATTTTTGTTCAATTTTAAATAATAAAATTAAAAATGATTTATAATTGTACGATGTAAGATGAATGTATACGATACACGAATCTCCAGATTCTCACAAAAATGATCAGGAGAGGATTCTTATTCGAACAGACTAACGTTGGGACGAGACGAGGTCTATGAAACGTTGACGTTTTGTAAGGAGAAAGCTTTGGACAATGAGTTGTTAAGACTAATTAGTAAAAAATTATTCATCTCTAACTATTCTTAATAATGTCAACTCCCTAATGTGATTGTTTGGGTTAATATTTGAACATTGGGTTGCAAATGTGTAGAAGCCCAGAGATATTAATTAAAGGGAGATTTGTCCGAGGCCCAAGCATCAAGCCCAGAGACAAATTGGCGCCTTCCTATTAATGCATAGGCCATGTGCCTATGATTTAAATGTCAAGTGTTGGGGACTAACTCACAATCAGCCAAAAAACACTTTTTAATGATAATACAAGTAGAAAGCTGATGACTCACTACCCTCAAAGTTCTTTCAGGCAAGAACAAAGTCACTACAATCGGACTAATTTGCATATAAAAGGAGGAAGAGGCCCCAGAGATAAGGACACTTAACCAATCAAACAAACAAACATACAAACTTTGCTTTCAAGCCAAATTTGCATCCAAAAGCTGTAATCAACCCAGATCTCAGTCCTTTTCAGGATATCTCCCTCACAAAAGCTTTGTCTAGTTTAAAGCTCTACTATCATCCCTAGTGACGTAGTATCGATTCTCTTATGTAAACTGGTTTACCATCCATCCCTTTTTAACATAGAAACCTCTGTAAACTCAAAGAGAAGTGATTGCAAGAAGTTCAACCTTGCCCGACAAGGTGAAATCTTGCTTAAAGTTCTTTGTGTGTTTTCTAAGATAATAGATCTATTACTTAATGTATTCTTCAGCATGTATTCAATTCATATCCATTTGTTTTCCTACTTTAAGAGTCTCATTTGCATCTGAATCTAGTCAGCTTAATGGATATGCTTTCATTTAATACCAATCAAGAACCAAACAAATGACTTAAGGGATCTGGACTCCCCTCATTCGAATATACAAGACTATGAACTGAAAGTCATTGGTCACAAGACAAGAAAAAGAACTTAATGTGGACTTAACTCATCTACGACAATCCTTTGATAGCAAGAAGTCTGAGTAACTTGGGGTGCAAGTAATTGACTAAACACAATCTTGTTCTATATCTGCTATACTGAGATAGCAGTGGCACGCCTAGCACTTGATTAGTTTTGATTGCGAGCCACAAGGCCTACACCTAAGGCCCCACAAAGGCACATTTCAAAACTAACTCTATCCTCTTTTTGCAGCACATCAACAAGTAAGAGCCCGACTACACATCTAAAGTGCCAATCCTTTGGGAAGTTGTGCTGAGAGTCGAGGAGCCCTCTCCAGAGAAATCTTCGCCCGAATAGTGATCATATTTGTTTAATTAATAAGCATGTTTGTTTTCTCAATGCCAAGTGATTGAGTAAAAGTTACTTAGAGATCAATGGGAGTAAGATGTCGTGTACATAAATAGTAAGATGTCAAGGCATTATAAACAAATAACATGTCATTTGTTTTTTTGAGTAACAGTATGTTAATGGTTTGAAATGTTTAGATAATATACGGGGCGCATATAAATCTCTCTCGTCAAAGTTGCTTTGTTTCACTATAACATGAAAAAGTGAGAACCAATTGAGCTCCACTAGATGCATATCTAGGTGCATGAAAACAATTGTGAACAGTTAATTGAAAAATATTACAATATTAATTTTACTTGAATTGTATTTAATACAATGCATAGTATGTTAAACTTGACGAATTAAGCTCGATTAGCTACATATCTTAGTGTATAAAAGCAATCGTGAACTGTTGATTGTGATAACTTTGCTTTTATCAACGAACCACAAAAATCCAACACAATGGTTTTGTTTAAGCACATTATTGTAGCATTTCAAACCAATAACACGAGAAAATTAAAACACGAGACATCATTGTATTCATGTATAATGTCACGTCGACGTGCCGAGAAGTGTTAAATCCTTTTTCTAACTTTGACGCTGCCGAAATTATGATAAGCCCTATTTGTTCACATACATTAACAAGGACAAATAGCATGCATTTTTGCAGCAACAATGTTGTAGAAAAAAACTAGGCAACTTCACCAAACCAAATCAAAGTCATTCAAATCCACAACTTGCAAACCAACCTCACCAAATCAAATAAGAAAAAGTCGCAGCTCATAACCAATAAGCTTAACATAACTAAACTCAATTAATTTGAATAAATTAAGCAGCTGATTTCTTTTCAATGAGCTTCTCTATCAAATCAGCTGCTTCTTGGACCGTGCTTATGTTCTGAGAGCTCTCCTCTTCAACGCTAATGTCAAACTCTTCCTCCAAATTCATCACTATCTCCACCTGTATCCAAATTACTTCTTCGTCAACCTAATCGATAGCAAATAGTCCGAGATAGTTTTGAAATGGTATAAATAAAGTATCAATATGCTGGCGACATTCTCGAGACTTGACATAGTAATAGTGCTATTTGAGAACATTGCTACATTAATATGCACATAAAACTTGAATTTGATAAACTTGGATAAGAAAATTAGACATACGGTGTCGAGAGAGTCGGCACCAAGTAATGCAAACTTGGAGTCAGGGGAAACCTCTGACTCTGGAGGCAACAAGCCAATTGTTAAACTCACAATCTCCACTTTTTGCACTGTCTCCGATTTGGCCTGTCAATTTTACGTGGTTTCAATATAACTTTTAAACTAATAATAATTATGCTTATAAGAGAGACATATAAAACTTTAATTCGAAAAATAACTTACAATACAATTGAAATTTGGAGATGAGAGATCCTCAAAGAAGAAAGCCACTTCGAATTCCCATTAGAAACAACTTACAGAAACAACTTTAAAGAGATCCTTTCAACTTATTATTTTCACCTTCAGCACATTTTGGTCTAAAATCCAATCAATTGAAGAATTCATCAATTGTGGTTAAAATATTAAGATTTAACGCCTCTCACAGATAATTTATACGTGTTCACCAAGCACATCTTGGTATCACAAAAAATGCAAGATTTCTTAAAAAAACAACCATTAACCCCAAAAGGTATGTGTTGACGCCTCCACAGATAAGTAAGACTCGTGTGAGATGCACTTGCAGAAGAGTACACCTATCTTGAAAGGTAGTATCCAAACTGGATGCAAAGATTTTCTCCAACAACAACCCAAATTTTTCAAGAGATAACCCAATTGAAACAACAAGAGAAATGTGACTTGAGCACACAAAATTTGGTATGGTAGTACTAAAAGACCAAATGAGACTAAAATTAATGAAGACTTAATGGCACGTGTTCCCCGTTATCGTGGCATCTTGAGCAGTTCTAACATATAAATGACATGGGACGCTGTAGTAAACGTGTTCTATGAAGGTCTCTCTCAAAATTAACTGCAATAAAAGTGAATCTAAGCTAAATGTTAGTACCTGGCAGGTCTTGATTGGCTGGTTTTGAAAGGTTTGGAACCTGCAGAGAGAAGTTGCTGAAGCAGAAGCCATTGGAGCTCACAAAAGCGAAGCACAGAAACTTGGTTACTTGAAACAGAAATGTGGTGAAAAGTGAGCTAAATTATCTATAGGAACGAAGCCCTATCTACTACTTACGTGGCAGATACTCGGACATCATGGTGGGTTCCCAAAGGGCCAGGTACAAGTTGCCACATGGGACAAATTAACAACTAGGCATCCAGCAGTAGTTAGCACAAAAGAGACACGTTGGTACGTCACATGTCCATGTAATTGAAGAGATATTTAAAAAAAAAAAAAATTCTTTCAAATTATATGATGAAATATGACATATCTCGCAGTGTTATGTGACCGCAACGGTACTTGTGAAATGAAAAATTACACGTTGTATCACACAAAATGAGTTTACAGTGAAAACTAAAATTAACTCTATAGTAATTTGGATAAAGTTCTACTTTGGTCTTCAGTGTTGTTTAAATCGCTGTAATTTAATCATTTTAGTTTAATAACTATTGAAGCCAAAAGGACTACGACTTAATTACTTTGACTATATTAGAACATAAGAGGACATGAGCGAGTAAGATGAGTTTTTGAAAAGTATATTAAAAGCCCGTGATTTCGAATGGCAACGATTACTAATTTAGATGCATGACAATTGAATTACAAAAATTGAAGTGAAATATCGTTTAAACTCCAAGAATTGACTACATTCATAGGCCATTATATGAGAGATACTTATATGAATCAGAAACGACAAAATGATGATGCCTTAAACTTATCACATGTCACAATATTTTATCACGTGCCTTAGGCTTTTCACATAACGTAACATTACCGGTGTCGATAAATTTCTCTACCGAACTACTAATATGTTCACTTAACACGAGTAAATCACTATTGTGATATTTCGTGCTAATAATATATTATAATACAGATTACGTAGAGAACTACGATTGCAGTTACCAGTACCATAAAAATTGTTATCTTGAAACTGGAAGATAATTATTACTTATTAGGGTATGGGCAGAAGATTCTTTAATATTTCTAGGTCTGATTGTTCTTTTTAGCATGTGGTAGAAACGAAACTAGTTACACGTGGTTGCTTATCGAACGAAAAAGATAGTGTTATTGATACATTTATTTTTATTTTTGTAGATTCTTATTAATTTTGGTCATTGTACTTTTTTGGAGTATCTCTAAATAAGATGTTAAAAGATAAATGTCAAATGTTAACTTGATGGCTAACGTGTTAGACCTTTTTTTTTCTTTTTCAACCGATATGTTTTTTTGTTTTAAATGATATTTGTAAGACCTATTTTATAAAAAAATCAATTAAAATAAAGTTTCAAATCTATAATTGATTCATTAATGGGACATACACAATAAAATAATTAAAAATTATTTAACATCACCTTTGTTTATATGTCAAATTTGATATATGAAAACTCATATATTAATCTATATAGAATTAACACAGGCCCTTTATGCAAAGGGATCCCCATTTTTTTCAAAAAATGGGGATTAGGTGTGGGACTCACTTCACATCGAACTTCAATGATCCGAACCATCTATTTTGTAAGTCTCAATTCATAGATCATTCTTGCAAAAATTCAATTTAATCCGAAACCATTTGTCTATTTAATTATCAAGATAAAATTTCATTATTTCTTATATAACAAAGTATTCGTTCATTTCTTTGAACCCAATTAAATGTCTTAAACATTTCCGATTTGGCTAATATTTTGTAAGGATGATCTATGAGGTGCAACTTGGAAAATTGACGGTTCGGATCGTTAAAGTTCGATGTAATGTGGACCCCACAACTAATCCTCATTTTTATAAAAAAATGGGGATCCCTTTCCTTAAAGATTTCCAGAATTAACATATCTATTTAAACTTATTCGTATCTTCAAATTTAATTACATGATATTTCACTTAAAATTTTACATCTTCTTTAAAAAGGATGTTAATTTATCCCAAATATTTGAGTGCGACAAGGCTTTGAAATTTTGAATGATGATTGGTCCCTTCTGCAAATGGCCACTCCGCCCGGCCGAGATAATATAAAATTGCGCGCCACGCGCACATTTTTCGACGTGTAATTCCACCAACATTTTAACACTTTCTCTCCAATTTCCTCTCGTTTCTCAGACAGCTCAAAAAATGGCAGATCCACTCAGCAACTCTCGTCGCCACTCTCTCGTCCCAAGCTTCTTGTACTCTTCATCTTCTTCAATGACGACGAGTACTGATGCACTGGGGCCGTCGGTTTCATCGTCGTTGGTGGGGGCAGCGTTATTGTCGAAAAGAGTGGTGGTTCCGGCGCCTAAAGAGAAGGTGGAGATGTACTCGGCGGGGTTTTACGCCGCGTGTGGCGTAGGAGGGATGTTGAGCACCGGACTCACCCACTTGGCCGTCACCCCGATCGATCTCGTCAAGTGTAATATGCAGGTGATCAGCTTCTTCGCTATTTTTTTTTTCCTTTTGGTTTCTGAAAATATGAGCAAGCGTCGAATTTTGTAGTGTTCATTTACGGATTCTAGGTGTTATTCAACACGCACACAATTTTCATTTGGTTTTGGAATTCATGTTTCTTGCAACCGATGTGGTTGTTGTTTAACAAGTTTGGAAGCAAATAGTAAGCCAAAGTATTTTGTTCATGCGTGACGCAACTTATGACTTCACAGTTGGTTACTGATTATAATTCATGAATAAACAAAGTTTTGAAATGCATTCAAATATAAACGTAATAGAATGTCACGTAAGAAAAATATTACTCTTAATTTTGAAACACCTTTCTAACTTCGATGAAATGCTATATTTTCTGATCACATTAGCGACCATCCCAATAATTAAGTAGTTAATGTGACTTTTAACATCACTTAGCATGAAAAATTATACATTTACACATCAAGTGCTCCATTATATATTTGCAAAGAGAAATGCTATTCAGACTCTCTCAACACACATGCAAGCACTCGCACTTAACCTTGCTTTTGAAGGAGTCTGTTCTTAAGACAAAAACTACAAGCGTCGACAAGTCCCACTCAAATTTGTTTTATAGAGTCTGAATAGCGATCCTCAAACGGATATTGTGGCATTACTTATGTTGATTCTAAGCTTACTGAAGTTACCATGCCTCTAAACCCTAAAACCCTTCTTCAGATTGACCCAATCAAGTACAAGAGCATCATATCCGGATTCGGAGTTCTGCTCAAGGAGCAGGGCATTAGGGGTTTGTTCAAAGGTTGGGCACCAACCTGGGCTGGTTACAGTGTTCAGGGAGCCGGCAAGTTCGGACTCTACGAGTTCTTCAAGAAGTACTACAGCGATGTTGCCGGCCCTGAGTACGCAGCCAAGTACAAAACATTGATCTACCTTGCAGGTTCTGCATCAGCTGAAGTCATTGCCGATGTCGCCCTCTGTCCTATGGAAGCCGTCAAAGTTCGTGTCCAAACTCAGCCTGGTTTTGCCAGAGGCTTGACTGATGGCCTTCCGAAGTTCATCAAATCCGAAGGCGCTCTTGGGTACGTATGAATCGAAAACTGAAATACAAAGTTGTGTGTTGAAAAGCTTTGGTATGATGAGGCTAAGGAATTTCGTTATGTTGTAGGTTGTACAAAGGGATGGTTCCGCTTTGGGGACGTCAAGTTCCTTGTAAGTTGAAACCCTTCACTCAACTTTCATTCTGCTTCCTAACTTCCTTCCCATGCAATTTACTCATAAGGGCGTAAACATGGTCCTGGTTTCTACAGATACTATGATGAAATTCGCGTCTTTCGAGACGATTATCGAGCTGATGTACAAGCATGCCGTCCCAACACCTAAAGAGCAATGCAGCAAACCCTTGCAGCTGGGTGTGAGCTTTGCTAGCGGGTATATTGCTGGTGTATTCTGTGCTGTTGTCTCGCACCCGGCTGACAACTTGGTCTCCTTCCTCAACAATGCCAAGGGAGCAACCTTTGGTGAAGTGAGTGTTCATATATTTCCGGCTTCCTCTGTGTTTACTGTCACGTATGTAATAATTGGTTTTTATTTTAAATGTGGTTGATGTCTTGCAGGCTGTGAAGCAACTGGGAGTTTTAGGTCTTTTCACCCGAGGCCTTCCTCTGCGTATCGTCATGATCGGAACCCTCACCGGAGGCCAATGGGTTATCTATGATGCTTTCAAAGTTTTTGTTGGGCTGTAAGTTTCAGCTCCCTTCATTATCTTTCGTTTTGTTCTTCCAAGCATGCTTTGTTTGTGGCCATTGAATGTGACATGGTGTGCTTAATTGCTTTTTGCAGGCCGACTACTGGTGGTCCTGCTCCCGCTGCTGCCGCCATCGAGGTTGCGAAGTCTTGAATCCATGCCGGATAGCTGACAGCCCCAAATCTTTTTGGCTCCGAGAATTTGCACAAACAATTTCTTTCAAAGTGACGATTTGATTCAATTTCGGTCATTGATCCTGTATGTATACTTATTCGCTACGTTATACTGCTCGATTTGATGCCAAGAGAAATTTCTGGGGTCAATTTCCCCATCGATGAACATGTAACATAGAATTAAAAAGTTCCACTAAATTGAGGTAACATTCAAGTCTTCAATGACACTATTTAATCGTCTACGATCAGATGAATGAACTGCCAAGAGCTCGTATGAGAGTTGGTTTAACCGCCCTAAACTAGTCGTGTAGTTTAGATGAGGGAACAAAGGGGTAAAAAGGACTCCCACATCTCACTATTTAAGATTTCGAAAATTTGTTCTCACCAAGTCATGTTTGAGCATTATCACGATTTAGACTAAGAGGATATATGGTATCGAACACAACTCTTGCGAAAATATGCCGAACTTCCGGCAGGGCTCCCTGAGCTAATGACTCATAATCAATCTTGCTGCCCTGCTTCGGGATGAATCCCCTCTCTGCGCCTGACGTTATGCAGCTAAAAATCCGGCAGACCCTCAAAGATAATCCCCACGGGATAAGCACCTGTGATTTGAGATCAAACCAAATGAGCAAGCCCTTTTGCAGTTCATCAGTAAATGAGACGAAGAATTACTATATCAGCAATGCAACTTCATCGGGAAAAAAAAAAAAAATTAAAAGGAAGCGCTCACCAGATCCGAATATGGCGCTTGTGGGTACGCTGCCATTGCCTGAGAGACTATTTGCTCATCAGTCATATTATTGAGGGCACGCTTAAGAGATGTTACGAGATTCACAACTTCATCTCTCAATGCTCGAGGATTCAAATTCTGATTTTCTAATAACTCGTGAAAGCTAACATCGTGTACTTTAGTGACTCTCTTGGCTATGCTTACTGCTTCTAACATATCTCCACCATTGTGAATTGCAAGGCTAAGTGCAGCAACCACCAACGGATCCCGAGGTTGTTCGGATAGTGCATTGTGGAATGCTAAGATCGCAACCCTGGAAGTGTAAACCTGTGATGAGTCTCGGTCGAAAGTGTAATGAGCTTGAAAGAATATCCTAAAACCTCTAATATACAAGAGAACATGAAATTTTATCTTTCCAATTTCCTGCTATTAATGGCATATGTAAACGAGCATTCATTTATTTCGAGAGGATCTTACCATAAGCTACTGTGGCATGGCTTGTCAGGCGAAAGAAGTTTATCCAAGTTAGAAAAAAGGGACTGCATGTGGCAAGCCAAAGAATTAACAAGTGTTTCGCTTTTAAGGCAAAGCCTCTTAATATGTGAACTTATGAATAAGCATATAACAAGTAAGTGAATGGTTATGTAATAATGATTACCAAAAGCAGGTTGGTCCTTTTGTCGCGTCTTCGAAAACCATGGCGAACAAAATATGCTGCCTGTAAGATGAAACTGTATTAGAACTAATTCTATGGTGTCAACAAGTAGAAAATGTAATCACTTATGAGACCCATACCTGGATAGGAAGAAGCAGTTCTAAAAGTCCAAATTTCCATAACAACCTTAAAGAAGCTTCGGCAGAACCATACGCTAACATGTAGTTCATTTCCATGAGGAGCCTTCCCTAAAGCATAAAGTCATGAGAAAGTAATTCAGGAACTCCAGAATATTAAGTGGAAAAAAAAATGATAAGGTCAAAGTCCTATTGAAATACCTTATCAAGCCTAAGTATTGAATAAGATAAACTTTTAACAGAATGAGCTGTTTCCTTGGAAATACGAAATCCTAATCGGGCAGCAATTCTTATTGCACGTAGAATGCGAGCTGCACAAAATGCAGAATCTGATTTTAGTATCTCCATAAACATGATAAACTGTTTGCCAATTGAGCACAGGTAACCTTGTATTCTGCACACACAAACTCACCACAATCCTCTTGAAAAGAAGTACTTGCAGGTATCACGGTTTGGACCTAGGCCCAAAGAAGATGATGTGAGGACAATGTATTTGCCATCTAGGGTAAAGTAATTTAAGAAATCACAACTGCTAAGAGTACAAGCACACTTTAGCTTTTCTAATATCTTCAATGCCTCCCATGTAGTCGTACACTATCCTGGCATAAGGATCAAACATCAACCTGCAAAAGACAAAAAGGAAGACTATAAGAAATAAAAAGAAGGAAGAGTTTTAATTGCCAACTTTCAAGTAAAAAGGGTTTTATAAGCAACCCGTTAATTGTAAAGTCACGCTGCGAACAATTCATCCAACGCATATAATCAATGTCGTCACAGTGATTTGGTTTCCTGAAATCACGACTTATGTTTCTGCCAGACTTACGTGCGGAGATGCTAAAACTTGAGACCTGATATGAGTGCAAACATTAACATGACATTAGAACAGTGTGCATATATGTGTTGTGCCCGTGTGCAAATGTGCAAGGAACTTCGTGGTATTTGAGTTCGAAATGATAGCACTCCCAATGCATTAGGCTAATAGTTCATTATTAGTTGAAAAATAGCTTAGAATTACTTCAAAAAACAAACCTCAATAACTGTATCACAAATGTGCACATGACATATGGGAAACCGCTTGCCAACTATTTCACACCAAGAAAATGTTCTTGTCACCTGAAAATATGGCAGATAAAACAAGCTGGGAAACAACTTATAATATCGACAACTGGATAACATTAAAGTAAAAAATTCAGAGCAAAACCTCCTTCAGTTCAGCTGAAGTTATTATGTCAAAGTCCTTTGGCGTCCGGTTTAATATAAGATCCCTTACACAACCTCCTACAAGATACACCTCATAGCCTACAAGAGAAGACAAGTTAACACGGTTTACACAATTACGAATAGAGCAAGAACCACATTAATAATACAAACCAAATTCAACCATAAATTCAAACTCGATCACCATCTAAACACTACATTAACACGCACCCTTTCGCTTTAGCCCATTGAGAACCTTTCGAGTAGGCTTGTCGATCATTGAAGTAGTAATCCCAAGCTCTGTGGAATTCAACTTCTTCCATGCCGGCGCCTTAGCATCTTCTACACCCCAAAAAAATCCCAAATTAAAAGTTAAAAAAAAAAAACCATTCAAATGATCCATAATACAAAACCCAAATCACAGGCAAGAAAATTAAATCAAAAGGTCGAAACTTGCTTCTTCCATTGGCAGAATTACTGCTTTTATTGTTCTTAAACAGACCCTCCGGCTCATCAAGCGCCTCCATTGCCGCGACCAAGTTCACTTGCACCTTCAATTGATTGAAACGAGTGGCTCATAAAGCAACTCACACACACATATACATACACACACACACACACACACACACATACATATATATATATATATATATTATATTTGACATATGCAGGGATGAAATTACCTATATATATTATATTTGACATATGCAGGGATGAAATTACCTTGCTGATGCAGTGAAACGGAGGAGCACGTAGGCAGAAATGGGGTCGGCAGGCGATTCCGAAGCTCGAAATCACCATTATCGGAGTTGATTCATTCACCGAGTCCGGTTTTGGGAATTTGGATTGCAGAGCTTAAACCCAATTGTTAGGGTTTTAGAAAACAGGGACAGAAGTGAGAGCAGAGTGGCTCCTCTCACTGGAAATGTATTAGCCACACGTGAACTGTGATGATTCAAGTTGGATTAGCTTGGGCTTACATGGGCTTACTCCACACGCAAATACCTTATTGCGCTACATGTGAACTGGTCTTGGGTACATAACGGGTTTGGCCCATGTTCACGTTGGAGCGTGGAGGACATCGAACTTGAAATCTCTTTTAACGTAAAAATACAGAAATAACATTGTGAAAACTGAAAAGTAGTTTCTTTCATTTTCTGATTGGTACAATTGGGCACTGTCAATTACAATACAATGTTTTGGTTTGGTTCAATTTAACAAATATTATTAAAAAACCGAACCAAATCAAACTCATTTTTGCCTTTATTTTCCTTACTAGTGCCAAATGCTCCCCAGTTCAGTCCAATTAAAAACGTGCTGGAACTAGATTAGTTCAACACAATACGTATTGGATTGAGCTGGCTACTATAAAAACCTAGGTAGCGCCACATGCACACCCATTTTTACTTTTCACAAACTCTTTGTTGATTTTCATAGTTTGATCTTCTTCAATTTATTTGATCCGACAGTTGAAAAATAAGAGAAGTGTGTAAGGTAAAAAGGAGTGTGTTAATAGTACCATCCAAATTTCTCTCAATTATAATTCTTGTTTTTTTCCTTTTTTTTCTTTCTAAAGCTTAGTTTAGCTTGGACTGGGTTGGTATGCATGTCCAGCCCAAATTAACCAACCCAAATTTGTGGCAACCCTCAACTCAAACATGGGCCCATTAAGAAAATGGTTTGCATTGAGCGTTTCTAAACCCCAATATTGAAAATGTGATTGTTGTTCAATCAGCGGCCGAGTGAATCCATGGCATTATGCCAGTTTTCAACCAATGTTGGGCTGAGAGGATTTCCGATTAGAGTACTTTCGGTTGAATGGATTCACGCTGCCAGTCATACAAAATTACGCATCGAACTTACCATCTATACGTGTCGACCTTTTCCTTGCAAGTAAAGAGATTATACTCGACTGTAGTGCTACTGGTTGTTAAGTGTGAGTTATGCTCCAAAACATTTATCTTAGGTTAGTAACATCATCATAATATAAAATGGGTGGTGCTATCCACAACCCTTTTTACTCCTGAGACAACCCCTGTTAATTTTCGTTCTTTAATCTTTTTTAATTCATTCGATATGATGGCTTGAAATTGAGAGAAATGTATGGAAGGTTAAAAAAAAATGTGTGGATAGCATCACCATATAAAATAATGAGGTATTCGCCTTATTCCATCCCTCCCCTTGGGAGCTTGTAAGGAGTTGCTAATTTCCTCTTTAAACTTTAATTTTAGCCGATTACCTCGTTGAACTTTTATAATTGGCAAATTTCTCCTTGAACTATAATTTAAATCGATTACCCTGGAACTTTTATAATTAGCCAATTTCCCTCATAAACGCTAAAATTCAAATAAAAAGTGTACGGAGTGAACTAGCGGAATAGAAGAAGAAAAAAAAATATGTTGCCCACTACATCAAGGATAAAATTCCTTTCTACAATTACAAAATTAAAGTTCACAGGGGGGAAATTGACCAATTA